GTCATAATAACTCATAAGCTTGAAATTTATTGATTTGTAGCTGGAACACCACCAAGTGAAACGCATGCCACAAGTCTCAATGCTTGCGATTGGTTTGATCTCCATCTCTTTGATGCTGATCATATGATTTTTGTTTTCTATCCCCTTAGTTTATACTTTTAACTTGGTAAAATTATTATATACTTATATATCGTTAACGTCATAATATTGTAGGATTGTGCTAAACGCGTTGGACCGTTGAAAGAGATTAAAAGGGAAACAATCTACAAAAAGAACTCTCTCAAGCATAATGTACATATAATGGATCTATGTAATTAAATAGTCGCTTTTACGAATTTATGTTGTGTTTCGAGAAATATTCTATAATTTTTGTTTGTATTTTGCCAATTACAAAGATAATATAAGTTCTTATTGAAAATATGTTATTCAATATTTAGAAATGTCCGTATATTAACACATTTCCTTAAATCTCTTTTACTATACTGATTCAAGAACTAGCGTAACTTATTTTGGGTTTGTGTCACGTATTAAAACAATCTGTTGAAAAGCCCAATATAAAACCCACTAATAGCCCACAGTAATCGCATCCACGTCACTGTTAACAAAAAAAAAATAATTTAAAATTAAAATGAGTGTAATCACGAATTATCAAATGGATGGATGTTTATGAAAGCAAAGAAGAAAGACAACTGGAAACCATCGACGGACACAACTCAAGTTTTACGGTTAGGCTTAGGGGTAATTTCGGTACATCACCGGCCAAAATGGTTGTGCAGAGAAACGGGTATTTTTCCGGTAATTATAGAGAAGTTGATGGCCTTTTCCGTCAATTTACACATCCTCGTCGTAGAAAAGGGGAAATTACGAGTGAAACCCCCCTAAACCGACCCGGCAACTTTACCGGTGACGGAATCTAAAATCTCTGACCTACCAATCACGTTCTTACACGTCGTCTCCCCGTATCGTCTCACGTTCTTCCACGTGTCCTCTCTACTCACCGACGCCGTCTCCTTTCCGTTTACCCGAACAGAATATTAACCCAAACCCTAACCCTATCTCTTTCTTTTTCACGACTTCTGAAATCAGATCCGGCGAATTCATGGAGGACGAAGAGGAGATCCGATCTCACGCCTCGCCGACGGGATCCGGTGAATTGGATCCGTCTTCTTCGCCGCCGGCGGGACGAATCACGGTTACGGTGGCTTCAGCAGGTCCTCCTTCTTATTCTCTCACACCTCCGTCTTCTTCGTCGCACCACAAGGATCCGGACGCGTTGGCTCTGGCTCTGCTTCCGGTTCAGACCAGCGGTGGTGGCGGAGGCAGCAACGGTAGATCAGGCGGCGGAGGAGGGAGGGAGGATTGCTGGAGCGAGAGGGCTACGGCTGTGTTGATCGATGCTTGGGGTGAGAGATACTTGGAGCTTAGCAGAGGAAATCTGAAACAGAAGCACTGGAAGGAGGTCGCAGAGATCGTGAGCAGTAGGGAGGATTACGGTAAAACTCCGAAAACCGATATACAGTGTAAGAACAGGATTGATACGGTGAAGAAGAAGTATAAGCAAGAGAAGGTAAGAATCGCTAACGGTGGTGGTCGTAGCAGATGGGTTTTCTTCGACAAACTTGACCGTCTGATTGGTTCGACGGCGAAGATCCCGGCGGTATCTCCTGGTATCAGCGGTGGTGGAAGTCCTGGTGTTGTAGGAGGAGGATTGCATAAGATTCCTATGGGTATTCCCATGAACAATCGTTCGAATCTGTACCATCAGCAAGCAAAAGCTGCAACAACACCGCCCTTTAGTAATCTTGACCGTCTAATTGGAGCTACTGCTAGAGTTTCACCTGCTTCGTTCGGCGGCAGTGTTGGTGGAGGCGGAGGAGGAGGATCCGTCAATGTACCTATGGGAATTCCGATGAGTAACCGTTCAATTCCGTTTGGACAACAAGGAGGTAGGATGCTGCC